AGCCGGCACGCACTCTGCGTGTAACGGTGCGGCGGTGGTGGCGGGGCAATGAAGGCGGCTTTGTTTTGTTTTTGTTTCCCATGTTTGCTTGATTGATTTTCGACCCGCCCTCGTCCATGAATTTTCTTTGTGTGTTGGCTTGGCCCTCCTCTCCTGCTGCGGTTGAGCCCTGCTGCCGGCGGCTTCACGGGGCCGCTGGTCCGTGGCGGCGGCGGCGGCCTGCACACGCTCACGCACCCTCCACTCTCCCCAACACGTCACGGTCTGTCGAGGAGCGCCGCAGCGGCAGTAAGGGCGCCAGTAGTATATGGGACGCACGGCCGGCGGGCCGCCGGTGCAGCAGCTGGCTGTGGCGCCGTCACTGCCGGTACGCCGGCGGCCGCACTGCCGCTCTACGGCCGACGACGGAAGGGAGATTGTCTGTTTCTTTGCGGCCGGCGGCCGCCACCGCGGCGCGGGGCGTTGACTGGCAGGCGGTCGGGCGCCGGAGGGGGCGCCCTGCGGAGGTGCTTGCGGCGCTGCTGGCGGACTGCGCCCCGCCCCCGGCGCTCGCCGCCCTCCCGTTGCGCCTCTTTGAGGCAACCGTCCTGTGCGACGACGACCCCCGCACGGCCGAGGCGGGTGAGGGGCGGTGGGGGCGGGCGGCCGCTCCACGACCCAGCGGCCTCAACTATGGCTCCGAAGCGTCGCCCCGTGCCACGGGCCGCAGCAGCCGAATAGTTTGCCCTGTCGCGCAGGCGCACCGCGTCTGACGGTGTGCCCAAGACGCACACGGTTCTCTGTGGGACCTGACGCCGTGGCGCAAATAGGAGCTGGCGCGGCCATTGACGCCATCGGCACAGGCAGCGAGAGCGGTGCCCGAGGGACGGGAACGGTGCCCTCCGGCCTGCGACGCGTCGGGCACTCCCTGCGGCGGCTGAGGCGGCGCGTTGCGTTGGCCGTGGAGTGCCTGGGTGCTGTCGAGTCCGGGCGGCTTGTGCGGCCAGCCCCCGAGGTCCTGCGCGCCGCGGCGACGGCGTGTGCGGTGCTGCGCCTCAACGCGCTCGGCGCGTCGCCAGCTGCGGCGGCTGTCGTCGTCCCCTCCGCCGCCGCTGATGGTTGGGGGTGCCGAGAGCTCTCTGTCACACTGCTCTCGCTCCAGACGCACTGGACGGCGGCGTTGAGCGAGCTCGTCAGAGATCAGAAGAAGCTTCCATGATTGTGTTTCCACTCAGCTGCTGACACAAAGTTACTAGCGTCGCCAGCTGCGGCGGCTGTCGTCGTCCCCTCCGCCGCCGGCCTCGTGGCT